TTCAATGAGAAAACAGTTTAACAGTGATGTAATTATGTCGGACTCTAATTGTTTGGCTCTCTAACACTTGTCATCCTGGATTATGAGCCATGAGGTGTTTTGAGTAGGTTTGGAGTCATTCAGTTGCCACTTTAAAAATTATAAGCATCCCTGTCTGGCCCTTTTGTTTTCAAGTAGACTGTTAGAAAGCTACGGTATGAGAATTTATTGCTTGGAACATCTCTTTCCTTCAAAACAGAAAAGAAAAGCCTTCTATGGATATATGTGTCCTCCAAAATAATCATCTTAATTATCCAGCCTCCTCAGGTCTTCTCTTGACACTTATCTCCTACAAAACACATATGAAAGTGGGCATCTTCGGCTCCACTAACTTCTCAAGGCAAAACTGCATGCCTCTCTGGCTGAGCGCCCTGATGACTGGAGGATATCGCTGTCAAAAAATAAATAAAATAAAGATGTGGAGAACTCGCTGATCCCATGCAGGTGTGTTCCTGCATCTCAGCAGGAGTCGCTCACATGCCCTGAACCATTTTGTCCTTCTCCTAACATTTGATCCTGGCATGGTGGATTCTCACATCAGTTTCCTTCTTAGATTTGCAGGGGTTTTTACCTTTATCTTAGGCTTTCATGGAGGATTTGTTTTCATTGGATTTCTCATATCTGACTGCTTTCTCTTCAGGATGATGTAGATGAGCTGGCAACCTCTGCTACATATCTGTGTTCACCCAAGAAGTATTCATTCCAACATAATCACATTGCTGTTGATTTGTTCTATTATTAACGTTAGTATGTAAAGCTGCTGCATGTCTGGATGTGTATATTTCTATGCCCATCGTGCTTGCAGTTAATTAGAGGCCAAACATGAACATTTTATTTTGACTTCCTAAGAAAATGAACAGACGTAAGATGTAACATTCTGATGTTGATGATTTAATTACTCGGTGAAAATGTTTTGCTTTTTAAATATTCTTTAGTGCAGGTGTAGTTCTGTCCCTTTCAAGAAGCTCTGGATAATTTCAAAGACTTCTCTGATCTCACACAAACATTGTCACTTCAATGCTGCCCACACAAACAGACCAGTGGAAGCAAATCGTCATCTCTTAAATCTTATACATATTAACTTTGTCACTCTGTGGCTTCCTTGTTGTTTCATCCTCACGATATCTGAGGCAGTCGCAGGATGATTAAAAGCTCTTTGGGATGCGTTTGCCACTGAACAACAACATATGTATAAGAAGGGTGGTGGTAATGAGCCTGCTGCAGAAATTAAAGCTTCACTCAAACATGGGGGGGGGGTGCACAACAGAAGTTATGGATTGTGTATGTCTGACTTGCTTAAAGGAGATATGATGCTTTTTCTCTAGTGTGTTATGTGGTTATTTTTGTGAATGTACGATTGCAAATTAAAAATTCATCATGTCCATCCCATACTTCCTGGGTATTGTGATGTCACATGTCCTTACAATGCTCCACATTTGCCTTCTTGCTGCTAGTCTGGCCCGCCCCGCCCCCTACAAAAAGCCAGGTAAAGTGAGAGGTCCAACATTTCCGGAAGCAGTTGACCGATCACAACGAAGTAGGCCAGCTGGCCAATCAGAGCAGACTGGACTTTATTGGCGGGGGGGGCTTAAAGACACGGGAGCTAAAACAAGCGTTTCAGACAGAGGCTGAAAGGAGGAGCTGCAGCAATGGACAGTATGAAGAAAGTTATGTTTTCTGAACATGAGAGCATGTCTCATTTAAGGAGATACTTGGAATGTGCAGAACAATTCAACAAAGACAAAACAGTTTTCTCTACTTCCCCAAACACTGACTGCTAGCAAAATAAGGCATACTTTAATTTTTTATCAGAATTACTCACTGTAGCAAAAGCTGGGTCATATTATTGAATCCCAAAAAGCAACATTTAGTCAGCAATAAAAGAGAGAAAACAAAGACAAATCTCCTGTGTCCAAACTGCAGGCACATCGATCAAAACAAAAAGCTGAACTATTCAATATATCAAGGGGGGAGAAATCTGAGGGCTACAGCTGCACTGATGATTCATGACAGTGGTCACAAGCTGGAACTGTCCAACAGGAACACGACAGACAAACAGTGTTCACAGTTTATGAGGGAATGACCAACAATGTGCATTAGTTTGCAAGTGGTGATACATCTTTGTATTTCCAAATAAGAATTGGTTATTTTCAAGTCAAAGTAATTTCTCATTGACTCCAATAATTGTCTGCTACCCCGTCTGGAAATGATGCACAAATCATTATTTTCATTCAGCAGTTTTTCATGTAAATTCCCAACAGTCCAACAAACATTATGCTGCACAATAAAGGTATTTGACAATAACTTGAGGCCTGAAAGCACTGATGCATATCGCTCATTTGTCTGCGTGCTGCTTGCAGATATTCAGTGACCCATTAACGGTGCACACCTCCTTCTCGGTTTGCTCCGTATCAAACCACACAGCATCATGAGAGAGGAGACACAGAGATCCAAGGCAACGAGAGACTAATGGTGAGCCAAGACATGTTTTTGAGATGAGACGGTGACAGGGTGAGAGGTCCACGGAAATGTGAACAGTCATAGAGGGGAAGAGGAGAAAGGGCTTGTCCACTTGTTTTCCTCCTCTCCACAATGCTTTCATAAGAGAAGGAATCAGGGTAGAAACTAAGACAAAAATATGAAGTACTTTGCTAATGTAATTGAGAGGTTTTATGGAAACTTGTTGGGTTTTTTTTTCAAATTTGAGCTCAAGGTCGAAACGAGGTGGTGATATGATGAGTAGAACTGGGCTGTGAGGCCAGATTACACAGATAGTACCCCTGAATATCATAAATCATGCATGGTACTCCGGTAACTCACCAGTGGATTTGCATTTGCTTGTTTCCGATTAGCAATGACATCAGTGCACCTCAGCTTCATTCTTAGTCCTGATTCGACAGTATAAAATCGCACAGTGTCAAACAGATAAACATGTCACCTGCTTTCAGTATCTTGGCAATAGCTCATTTTACCAGGGGTTTAGCCTCTGTCACAACAGATCTTGTGGGAACTGTTGGGTTTCTCTATATTTAATATGATTTTAAGGTCCTGACCTTCTATGTAAGGTGCCTTGAGATAATGTATATTATGATTTGGCGCTATACAAATAAAACTGAATTTAATTGAATTTAATGTTTTACATATTATACACTATGGGGATTTTTGTTTTTTAATACTAGGTACTTTTTAAATTCACGCAATCGCACTTGAGTTTTCATTCTGACAATTGTTTTTTTTTCCGATGCTCGATGCACACAGTGGACTGACACACCACATGTCTGACAGAAGCAGCCAACAGAAATTACCAGCTCTGGTGGAAGTGAAGATGGAAGCTGCCTCGCTGTTACTCAGACGAGAATCCAAGCTGTCGCCTTCCCGTGACTTTAATTCAATAAAAACTGTCTTTTAATTTCAGGTCGACCAATAAAAAGGAGAATGATCCTCATCTTCCCAAACAGGTTCATCAGTTTTTTTAAACCTACAGCATGAACAACAGAAAGACAGCAAGAATTATTCTAAAAAGCATCGCACAGATAATTTGGAGCGATCTTACAAATATTAAACAAGAATCCATTTTTCGATGCCAGAAGACAGTGTTATATTTGGACGGAGACAATATAACCCTCTCAAAATGCAATTTACTACAAATGTACCATAGTAGAGCCAGACAGATTTATCAGTTGGCTAATGATATTGGCCGATATCAGCCAATATGTGCCGACAGGAAAACTTTCATTTTACAGAACAGACAATGCAGAAAAAATTGGCATTTATGTTTATATATAAAAAATAATTTATTATGTTGTGTTTGAGGTTTTTTTTAATTATTACATTAATATTCACAATTAAGTATATGGTTAAACTATTAAACAAGAGTTTAATAACGACGTTTTTTACTCTAAATACATTTAATACATTGGTATCAGAAATCTTTCGCTGCCACTCGTCACTATTGGTTTTTAATTTCAGCTGTACATGTACACACACATATGTACATGAATAAACACATGCATACGTACATTCATATTGATCTTTTCTAAAATACATTAATGTTTGGTTCCCGTTTAACAATTCAAGGCATTTATATGCTCTTGTGTTCAGATAAAAAAGTCTGAGTAAGAACATTAATCATTAGCCAAGTCTAAGTTGACATTATGAAAACAAAGCAGCAGTGAAGCCAGTTTTTGCAATAAAGACAAATCACAGTATCATTTCTCTTACTTTTCATGAGGCTTCTTAAGAGTGTGTCCCGCTGATAAAGCTGTGACTTAAATCACATGATTGATGTGGGAAGTCGAGCTTGAAGGTTTTAGCAAGTTACAGTGCCCCTGAGTCAAAATCAAATAGGGGTTTAAAGTTCCCCCCGTCTCCATTTATCACCACTTGGCAGCAATCTCTGTTTTACAGTATATCACTGCAAGGTCAACAGCTAAGCACGGGATGGGATGCGTTAAGATTTCAAATGTTTCAGGGAGACATTTGAACATCAACAAAGGCATTTTTGGCTGCTAATTAAAACTGGTTTGTGTGAGCGGAGACGATGTGTCACAGTTTCTGGCAGGAATTGTCTTCAATCCAGTCACAAGACAGACACCCAGCAGGGTGGTCATATTGTGTGACAGAGCCCTGGTATTGATTGGCTGAATTCATTACTTGTGAGGAAAGTCACCATAATTAAATTTTATCCACCAAAAGGGGAAAGGTGGCTTATCTCTTTCTGATGGTTTACAGAAACAAGGGAAATAGTTTTTTTTTTTTCAAAATGTGATGAAAGGGCTCAAAGTAATCCTGCTTTGCTGCTATTTTCTTTCATTGGAAACGAAAGACAAAAACATGTTCTTGTTTTTCTGTCTGCTGTCTTATACAATGTTGTTGTTGTTGTTCTGTCAATTGTCAAAGCAATTTCTGGGTCACCATTCCAAAGTATCAACCCATCTTTTTTTTCCCCTCTGTCTCCACAGGTAAGCAGTAGGATGGTGTCTGGGGAGGCAGGAGGGCACAGCTACTTGATGGCATGCTGGCAGCCAATCCTGATCCTGATGCTGGGCACCGTCCTCTCTGGCTCCACCACCGGTTGCCCCTCCCGATGTGACTGCAATGGTCAGGAGCGTTCAGTTGTGTGCCATCGACGGAGACTGGCAACGCTACCTGAGGGCATCCCCACTGAAACGAAGCAGCTGGACCTCAGCAAGAACCGTCTGAAGACTCTGGGGCCCGAAGAGTTCATTAATTACCCTCAGCTGGAAGAGCTGCAACTTAATGAAAATACAATCTCGTCCATTGAGCCTGGAGCCTTCAGCAACCTCATGAACCTTCGAACTCTAGGTTTGCGCAACAACCAGCTGAAGCTGATTCAGCTGGGTGTGTTCACAGGCCTGACCAACCTCACGCAGCTGGATATTAGTGAGAACAAAATTGTCATTCTGCTCGACTATATGTTCCAGGAGCTGTACAACCTGAGGGCTCTGGAAGTTGGTGACAATGACCTGGTGTTTATCTCACCCCGATCATTTCATGGCCTAAGCAACCTTGAAAGCCTCAACATTGAGGGATGCAATCTGGCCTCAGTGCCCACTGATGCCCTGAGCCATCTGCATAACCTGTTGTCACTTCGATTACGTTATCTGAACGTCACTGTCATGAGGGATTACTCCTTTAAGAGGCTGTATCGGCTCAGAGTGCTGGAGATTTCTCATATGCCCACCCTGGATTCCATGACCCCAAAATGCTTGTTTGGACTCAACCTTACATCACTGTCAATCACAAACTGCAATCTGACTGCCATCCCCTACCAAGCCATCAGTCACCTAAGATATCTTCGGTTTCTGAATTTGTCTTTCAATCCCATTCAAACTGTGGAAGGCAACCAACTGTTAAATCTACAGAAGCTGCAGGCGTTTCATTTGGCTGGTGGAAGATTAACTGCCATTGAGCCCTATTCTTTCCGAGGACTCAACCACCTCCGTGTTCTCAATGTATCCAGCAATGGCTTGAGCACCCTGGAGGAGTCTGTCTTTCACTCGGTGGGAAACCTGGAGACCCTGGCTTTATATGACAACCCATTGGCCTGTGACTGTCGCTTGCTCTGGGTCTTCCGCCGGAGGTGGAGGCTCAACTTTAACAGACAGCAACCCACGTGTGCTTCACCTGTGGTGGTGCAAGGAAAGGAATTCAAGGACTTTCCAGACATCCTCCCCTCTGACTATTTCATCTGCCAGAAATCGAAGATCATGGATTATAAAGTTCAAGAAAGCCACGTGGATGAGGGCACCACGGTTCATTTCGCTTGCCAAGCTGAGGGTGACCCAGTCCCTGTGATAATGTGGCTCTCCCCTAAGAAGGAATACATCACTACCAAAACCGCAGGGTCAAGACTTTCTGTGTCTAACGAGGGCACATTGGAGGTTCGTTATGCCCAAATCCAGGACAATGGCACCTACTTGTGCATCGCAAGCAATGCAGCGGGCAATGACACCAAAGCTGCTCACCTTTTTGTGCATAGCTACTCCCCCAATTGGCCCCACCAGCCAAACAAGACATTTGCCTTTATTTCCAACCAGCCCAGCGACGAAGGTGCTAATGTGACCCGGGCCACAGTCCCATTCCCATTTGATGTAAAGACACTCATCATTGCCACCACCATGGGATTTATCTCTTTCCTCGGAGTGGTCCTCTTCTGTCTTGTAATACTATTTCTCTGGAGCAGAGGGAAAGACAGCACGAAGTCGAGTATAGAGGTCGAATATGTGCCACGAAAAGAGGAAACGGAGGAGGCCAGTCCAACTGAGGCGCCCATACAATTCAACATGAAAATCATGTGAACCTGAAATGGAGGTCATCCCAGCTTACAAACTGCAGTCAGGATGCATACTATCCTCGCTTCAAATATGTACTCAGTTCATGAGCGATAGAAATTGCACAGCAGCAAATGCATCTTGACAATATACCATAGATTTTTTTTTTACTTCAGGGACTGACTCTTCAAAACAAATGTTGAATTGCAAATACTACCATTTCTGTAAATTTGTATTGGCAATACTCAGATCAGTATGTTAACATGCACTCAACAGCCCCATTACTGTGTGTAACCAGATTAAAAAGGTAATAGTTTGAATGAAGCACATGGATTAGAGGGATTTCATAATGTAGGGATTGTTCTCCAGGTGTCATCTCTCTATCAGCACAAAATAAGAGGAGGATTGTGTTGTCTGGATTGTGTTGCATTTTGCTGTGGTTTGTTTTGATGGATGTACAAAGCACAATAACGCACTATTAGAACAAACAAATATGTTAATTGAAATCTTGAGTTGAATGCAGATTTTCAGTTTTCTTTGTGTGTAAGTATGGGGTTAATTTTTTTAAACAAATACAAAGAAAAGAAAGTAAGATTTTAAGAGATTAAAGATGCACTTTAAAGAAGAGTCATAGAGTTACAACATAGTCCATATTTTGAGGGATTAAAAAGAGACTAAACGGAAATATATTTTCAGAATAAGGTCCTATAAAGAAAAAGAAAATGTGATGTGTTTGTGGAGTCGTAATTTTACCATAAAATGTTTCTAAAAAAAGGACAGTTTCACCTTTCCACCAACATCACTAGTTTTGGTCCGATGTTTTCTCTGCCCATGTTGGTGCTGGTGTCTCCAAAACATTAATTGTCACAAACAAATTACAATTTTACTGTGTCAGTTATAATAATCTGATAAAAGTACAATTAAAAGTGTGCATGTTAACACACTGACTAAGATACATATTCCAGTCCTACAGTATGTGCTCCCTTCTGCCAACAAAAGGGACGTTTGTTATTAAATGTATTGACTTGTTCAGCTATACATATTTTTTCTGTACTCTATTCTTTCCTTGTACATTATGCTATGGCACAATAGTAATGCTTTTAATTGCTGAGGGGTGTGAACATATTGCAATCTAAAGAGCAGATTCAATTATCAGTTTTGATGTATATAAACCAAAAGAGAGTACAACTGCTTTTAAGAATGTATAAAGAGGTACCTTCGAAAATCATCATAATAACAATCCATCACCCAGTGAAACGAAAGTTAATTTATTTACCCATTTGGCAGCTCAATAAGCGTGAGCACTCTGCCCAAGTCCTGAGGTTATACTGTCACCAGAGCATCTCCAAAATTGTGACGATATTAATTTGTTGCCTTAAGTCGCCTATTTTCCAGCTTTCAGCTGAGCAATACCCAGTATTTATGTGTAAAATTGCGTTTTATGCCTCATAAGAATTTTATGTTGTCTAATTAATTTCACAGTCAAGGTCTGCTCTGAAGATAATATGTTCATTAACTCTTACAATTCTTCTTTAAAAGGGATGGGCAGATGGATATTCTATTAAAATAAATAACATTTTATACTAAGGGGTGCTTATTTTATGCTAATCTACTATAAAGTGAATGTGAGGACAAGTTTTTCATCTGTGCTGCGAGCAATGTTCACAGATCTTACTGCTTTACTTAACAGGCACACGGGGAATCCTACTTTTAGAGACCTTCTGAAAACACTCCTCTCACTGCAGTCTTTAAATGTTGGTGTTTGCCAATGTGGCTGTGAAATCCTATAGTGTATTCAGGCCTAGCTGAGTCGAAAGTGAACCTGTAGGTCACAAGGTCCTCAAAGTTTTACAGAGGACAAACTGCGACCACAAGTAAACACAAAGCAATTCTGAAAACCAAGTAAGTCTGCAGTCATGAGTGCTGCTTCATTTTTGGTTGCAGTGATAATCAATCAGAACAGAAAAATATAATTTCAGTGTCAGCTTGACACTGGGGATGAGAGCCTGAAGGATTACATGCCTGGTCATGAATTAGGCCAGTAAATGTCAGTCTCATCAAAAAAACACAAGGACTTCAAAAGAACTTGCTTGCTTGTGAACAGGTCTGTAAATATCTTATCGGTTTTTATAACATGAAATAAACATGACATCCTGTGACACTGCATACAGTTTATGTGATGTTAGAGTAAGCGGAAGTCTTCAGTTACTACTGTGTGAGTACATCCCTGGATGCGTCTCATTTCATTGCAAACATATTGAAAATACCGTGGTTGTGAAACTGACTGCGAGAGCAGCATGTAGCAGAATTCAGGCATACGGGTTTGACCTGACTACCAAACATGAGCTGCTTTTACACATGCACTGCAAACACCAACCTCTCCAGGCATTACTCTGAGGAGCTGTATGCCAGAACACAAATGACGAATCAGTTGGACCAGAAATTAAACAGACATCACTCTGCCAGCTTCCTGGTGTAGAGTCCATTTGACAGAGCCTATGAATGAATAGAACTCGTCATTGTCTGGAGCACACACAGCAAGAGAGTGGGGGTGTTGATAACATTTCTATCATTTCTCTTCCAGCCCATGGCCAAAAAAAATATATTTCCAGTAGGAGAGACCATTTGTGTCACGGTCGATCTCCTGTTGTCTGCTACATATGTGAAGGGGCATTCTCCAGACAAGGTCCAGACCCGATCATCCGCACGTTAATTTGAGTTCATGTGTGAAAGCGGCGATGAAGTGCAGGTCTGTATAAAACAAATCAAAGCTCACACACATGAAATAACCTCTTTCTTCATAACGTTGATAAAAAAAGTAACCAAACCCATGTGGTGAAAATTAGTCTAAAGAAAGGAGAAGGGCACTTGGAGAGCATTCGTTCACCGAGGTTAACTCCCTTTCTACTCATGTCAAACAAAAAAAACTAATTAATAAATATATTCCAGCATCCTCATGTTTGCTCTGATCTGCTCTTAAACTGCATGGGTTCTTCCCAGGGTCATGCACCACTCCTCTACAAAATGTCACTGAAATGGGTTTCGTATTGTTTGAGTAACCCTGCAAACAGACAGACAAACAAACGGTAATGACAACATGACCTCCCCGGCAGAAGTAACAAAGAAGAGGAGTTTCGAGAGAGAGAGAGAGGAAGTATCCTTATATAAAACAGATTCGTTGTTGTGTCACTGGAGAAACTTTTTCACTCTTTCCTCCGTTATGGAAGTTTCCCTGCATGACAGTTACGCACTGGTTTAAAAATAGAATGTTTATCAGGCAACCTATTTTCTTTATTTCTGATGGGCTGACACCAACACGCCACCATGCTTCATTGCACTAGAAACACGAGAGGCTCTGCAGTAGCTGAGTTGTTAGTGTGTTTAAAAGGATAAAATGTTGTTTATATCTCGATTTCAAGCAAGAGAAACTTGCAGACTACACTTTATAGAATTACGGCCTCACTATGGCTCATAAAGGAACGAGCAGTGAGCAGCGATGCATTGCTGAGCCAAGTAATCACTTTAAACTTTAAAATCAATTCTGGAACGAAACCTGTGTGGGGAAGCTGACTAAAGAGGCTGATATGGATGAAGAGGTGTTCATGCCTTATCAACAAAAGGCGACTAATTGATGATAGAATTATGCACAAACTGAAACTCAGCCACAGTCACAAGTCTTTTGTTTTGGTACCATACCGCATTTTTTCAACAGTCAAAGTTTACTGAAGTACTGCCCTAGTTTTAGGATTTAAGTTGTAAATTCATTTGGAACAACTTGATGTACAGTTTCATGGCTGAGACATCAATTTGTCTGGAGATGTGCTCCGGCCATAAAGAAGGGTAACGCTTATGAAAAAGAAAAATGCTGAATATTCTTCATCATAATACAGAGGAGAGCAGATTAAGATGAGTTACACAGCCAATAAATAACCTAAGGGGAGGAAACTAAAGGCATTTCACAAGTAAATAATGAAGCAGGCAGTATTTTGTCTTTGACAGATAAAACCAGAGCTGCATGTAGGAATTAAAATGTACTGTCAAGAAACCCTTAAACAAAAATCTATTTAAAAGTGCGTTGGTTATATGAGACCATAAAAACAGCTGAAACTGGCCAAGAATTCTTCTGATTTATCTGATGAATAGTTTTGATCCATTAGATCATAACATATATTTGTCTCACATCCAGGTGCAATCTTTCAGAGCCTGACCGATATGGATACCTGGGGGACAATATCGATATTAGGGAGCGAAAATTTACGATACAGATGTAAAGAAATATCCAGATT